ATTAAACTTTTGTCTAAATAAAGAAGTGATTTTTTTCTTTTTTTTCACTAAGTGCCTTTATAACACATATTAAAGATATAATTAATATATTTTTTAATCATTATTTTATATCAAAAAATAAAAAATAATATTAATTTTAATATTAATACAATATAATTTAATTAATTAACTAATTCTTAAAATTAAAAATAAGTTGTATTTTTTAATATAATATAATAATTAAAAAATATATTAATTACCTTCTATATGGAGTAATAGGGTAAAGACTAGAAAAACGTTTTTTCTATTTTTATGTAAAAATAAAGAAGTGATTTCAAGGACGAACGAAACTGGTACAGCGGTGCATCATGACCGTCGCGTCAATTGCATATGACCCCACATCGACGGTCAGAACTTAGCAATACACTCATCCCCATCCATACCTCATAAATGCAAGAAACCCCATTTTCTCTTGTTTTCATGCCCGTCTCTGTTTTTTATAAATGTAAACCCAAACTCCTAAAGCCATTTCAAAACCAACTCAAATTCGAAGAAAATTAGTTGAAGTAGATATGGAAATGGGTTTCGTCAAGTTCCTGTTCCTTTTTGTCTTCCTTCTTTTCGCCCTTGATGGTGGTAAGGCGGCGGACATGTCGGCGGAGTGTAATGACGACCTCCAGAAGTTGATGACGTGTCTGAACTTTGCGCAGGGGAAGGTGGCGACGCCGACAAAGGAGTGTTGTGATTCGGCTACGAGTATTAAGGACAAGGATCCCAAGTGCTTGTGCTATATCATTCAGCAGATGCAGAGCGGCAGCGATACGCTGAAGAGCATGGGTGTGCAGACAGCGAAGCTGCTTCAGCTCCCTTCCGCTTGCCAGTTGAAGAACGCTAGCATCTCTAACTGCCCCAGTGAGTTTTTCTATTTCTATCTCATCTTCATTTTCTCGCACAGATTTTAAGATCTGAACTTTCAACTTTCACTTTCAAAATTAGTGAGTATATGTATTTCAGATATGTAGACCATTTTCAGGGTTTGCATGTGACCATTTTCAGATGTTTTTGGTAAGGATCTTTTGGTATTATATTTCTGAAGGTTAGTTAGATTTATAAAATATGGAAGGACAAATTTTGGAGGGATTAGGTTTTTTTCTTTTGTTTGAGGGGGTTGGATTAACTCAAATTGGTTTAAATATTGCATTAATTTCACTCATTAATTTTAAAATTTTAATTATTAATGTAATACTTTAATTTCTCAAAAAATTCTTTTAAGTTTTGAAATGCATGACTGTAAATTGGTATAGAAGGTTTTTTCATCAGTCTAAGTTGTTTTTTATTTTTTATTTGAACATGAGCTAAGAAATATTTACATTCATTGCCAAGAACTCGAGAGAAATCCTAAATTTGAATTTGAAGTGTTTTTATGGGATCAAGAAAGATTTGAGTTTGAGTTGTAAATATTACATTTCATGTTGTGCATACAGTTGTAATTTATTAATAGCAATCACATCACATCAAATCATATTAGTGAATTGATATAAATATATATAATAAATAGTATGTCAAAAAAGTCAATTAAAAATTATTTTATGAGATATTATTTTTAATCATCATTTTCAGATAAATTAAAAGGTCATATTTGTTTCTTTCATTATTTTTTAATTTATTATTATTATTATTATTATTATAATTTACCTCAATTTCATGCTACTAAATATCCAGTCATTCCATTAAATCAAACATGAATCTAATTTCTTGTTCAATTAATGATGTCTCTAGTCCATGTTAAAAAAAAAATGATGTCTCTAGTTTTCCTTCTCCAATTGTGTAATTTGGATTTGGCTCAATCAAACCCACATTGGATGGAAGATTTAATAAGAATTGTTATAGACTCCTAAGCCTAATAAGCCATTTCATATTGGGTCCATTATAAATCCTTTTGTATAATTCTCATACAGTTTTATAATTATTTAATAATTAGTTATTTTTACTTTATTAAAATTAAATATTATTGTATGTATTTATTTATTTAATTGTATATATAAATTATATAAAAAAAATATACGAAAAGGATTATCCCCATGTCATAACCTATATCTAAATTTCTCTCTCCCACTATATGTAGCTTTAATTAATCTTCAATTAGAGTATTGCGTTGCCGTTGTGCAAATAGGGTTAATTGCTTTTACCATAGGAAACCCCTACTCCAGTTTTGAAGAATAACCTCTACTCTAGTTTTGAAGAATAACCCCTACTCTAGTTGTGCATATATATTATTCATCCCCGCAACATCACCTTTTATATATATATATATATAAGTTAAGGTTTCATAACATAATATGATCATTTTTTATTCTTTAATTCACATTATTTATATGTGACTAAGTAAGGAAAAAAAAAAAAAGTGATTTTTCTTTTTCTTATATTTTCCTTACTCGTGAGCCATCGCACGAAGATATATATCCCTTATAATTACTTAGGAAGCTCACTTATTCGTAAGATGAGGAAATCTAACTAATTTGGTAGTTAGCTACTAGTCTTAGAGATAGGGACATATGCAAGTTGGAGTTTTAAATCTCTCTACTTCCTTATATGCTACGGAAACATTATGCTGTTGTTGTGGGCATTTTGCACGTTAATTTTCAATTGTTTTCAAGGTTTTGGAAGACAAGGAAATACAGACACGACGCACATGAAACTTCACACAATCTTGTATCTCTCTCCTTCCTCTAATTTTAGAAGCTTATGCCTGAAGATGCTTGTATGAGTTTTCGTCGTCTTGTTGGTAAATGTCAAACACCAAACTAAGCTGTTGCTAATACTAGAATTGAAGAAGTTTCATGGCTTTTGTATGGCAGAACTTCTAGGCCTATCTCCGGGCTCACCAGAAGCCGCCATCTTCACAAACATCTCCTCCTTAGCGCCACCGACTACGGCTTCTCCAGTAACAGGATCATCTGCGGCGGACACAACTTCGGCATCAAGTAGGACCCAACACGGATCCTACATCGCCTGCCCTGTGGTTCTGGTTGCTGTGGCCATCCTTTTCCATGCATTGCCAGCTGGGTCGGCCACTTTGTTTTAGCTTTAAGCCTCTCTGAAGAATGAACAACACTTACGGCTGTCTGCTTCTTTCTTGTTTTGTCCAAACTTTCAAGACTTCTTTACCCTTACCATTCCAGTTGTATTATGGTATCTTACTCTTTACAAAACTTATCTATGGTTATTTGCTAGCTCTATCTTTTTAAGTTTCAAGCTTTCACATCCTATTTTCATCATATTCAATTCATCCCCATTGTTGTCTTTTAATTTCAATCCAAAAGTGCAGAAGGTGGGTAAACCGGTGTACTTATGTACAACGTTTATTCTCTGCCAATATTTTGTACTACATAAAGCAAGATCAAACGAGTAAATGCATTATGACAAATCTCATAAAATAGAAAGAGTTAATTATTGTACAAACAAGGGTAAAGAAAAAGATAGTAACACTTATCAATTTTAATTTAAAAACTAAATTGGAGGTCAATGGTCAAACTATTTGTTAGAATATTAACATTTATTTTAGAATATTAGGATTAATTTTCACTGTTAAAAGTGAAACGTCATGGTTTTATTGGGTTAAACTAGACATAAATAGAATATCTACAGCAGAAAATCATTGGTATATATATAATATAAAAGTCAATCCTATGAAACAAATTCAGACTGTCTCCTAAATATATGTAACTGTTTTCCCGAACTTGTGGAGTAGCAATATCAAAATAAATAAATAAATGATATAACATAATAAAGAACAGATATAAGACTATGAAACTTGATACCTATTTCATTAGTTTGATGCAGATGTTAATACTGTCAGCAAGATGTTTATTTTGGATATTATATCTGCTACAGGCTTTGCTGGCGATCAGGGTGGGGAGACCTTTCCTGCAGTTGGATATTCTTTAGCGTCCCCATTGAACAACACAGCTTCAGCAAAGCTCTTGCTCATTTTCTTTACAATGGCATTAGGTAGAGAAACAAGATTGTGTGGTTCAGTTGTTTCATCCTCTGGACTAGTTGCTAGGCTTGCTTGCTGTCTGGATTTCCTTTCCTGAATTGCTTTCTGCCGCTCTTCATAAAAGGAAAAATCATCAAGGATAGATGAGTGACTTCCATAGTTTTTGAAAATGTTCAACATCTCAATTCCCTGTTCCAATTCCACCTGTAATATTTGAGACCAATATGTCTTGAGTAGGATGGTGCGATATTCAATCACTTCTAAACAAAAAGCATTACAAATCTAAAATATGCTACACGCATACATAGCTTGCATTGGATAGATTCCTACTTACAACCCAAAATTTTTCAGGAGGAAATAAATTTTGGAAAAGCAATGGAAATTAAACCACAGATCTTGGTGTCATCTTCTTTCTAGTTCTTGGACCATTACATTTGCCAAGATCAATCTAGAACATGCTGCATTTACCAAAAAAAGGAAACAGAAAAGAATATATTAATTTCAAACTGAACTGTAAACCAATACTGCAGCTTATCTGGTTGTTTAACTTTAAATCAAAGCTTAAACTGCCATCTATCTAGATTTGAGAAGTGCCAAGAAACAGCAAAATGTTGAAATCAAATAGACAAGTTCGAGGATGTGCTAATTAAATCCAGATAGATTATGGACCTACAAGGTCACCAAATGGCTGAAGCACTGCCATAAGTTGAGGCCATATATAGTGGCATTTGACTGGAATGCAAATGGAAAATACTGAGCACTGCATAGACTTGCATGAAGAGGTTTTTTTTTTTTTTTTTTTCGATAAGGACTTGCATGAAGTGTTGATAAATTGTCAATTGCAAATGAGCCCATACCTCTTGAGTGTCTCTGCTGTTAGTAACTGGCTTGTTGTCATTACTTCTGACAAGAATGTGGCGGAACTGACTATTTGGAACATCTTTAATAATATGCCACCTTACAGGGAAATGTCCAGACCACTTATCTTGAAGCCAATAATCCACACTTTTGTCAAAGTTGACAGATCCCACCATCTCAGCCACCCCACAGAACTGTGAACTAGCATTCACCTGTGTGCAATTTAACATTCGACAGCAGCTAAGTGAGTTCTAAGTCTCATTCATGCTTTCCACTTAAAATGAACCACAAGGAATAAATAAGGAAATATTATTCACATGTTCTTGCATAATTTGGTAGCATAATAAGGACAAAAATTTCATCCATCACATTAAATTGTCAGCAAGAGAACCCATGATCTCATAGTGTACAAGAACTCAGCAACAGTATATCCATCGCATCTCCAATAATCCCTTTGTTCTGTCAATGCATTGTCCACAATTAATAATCTGTCAATCACTTCACTACGCTGGACAGATTACGAATCAGCCATTTGTTTTACTTAAAATTCATTCAACTGGATTAGGATACTAGATAACTTACTGAAAAGAGTAGAAAAACTGGGCATGTTTGTTTCTCCTTTGCTTCATGATAAGCAACATCCAATTTTTTGTTGCCATTTGGCGTGCTTGCCCAGACACCATACTTTATACTCTTATGAATATTATCTTCACTATAAGATTTGATGACAAAGAACCTTGCATCCTTGTAATCAGTAATAAAATCCAGTTGGTTGTATGACCTGCTGCTAATGCCACTAATTTTGTCATTCCTCCAATTATTCATAGCTGACCCATTTGCAGTTGTCTGGCCTTTTGGCTTAAATGCCCTAGGTCCTCTGTTTCGCTCACTTAATGTATCAAGTGCTACAGTACAACTGCATGAAAAGTCATTACACCTTTCTTGTCTTGTTTCATCAAGCATTGGCCAATTTTCACCATTTTTGCCCAAGCTAGATGCAACCATACTTCCATAGCTACAGCCTTGATTTCTTCTAGTATTGGAGTGGCATCTTGAGCTGGAGCTAGAGTGTGATCCAATCCCATGAATTGATCCTTTCTGGAAAGAATCCTGCATAGGGTAATCTTCAGAATCGATAAAGATTAAAACTCACAAATCAGTCTTTAATTCAAACAGAGAGACACCAAATGCAAGGCAATGTTATTCACCAATCTCACAATTTTTTTATCATAATGTTATTTATTATGAGGCATAACATGTGAGTCTAAAATACATTTTTAAAAAAATCCCAGAATTGGTAGTCTTGTGGTACATTAAGGAGACAACATTTACTAGCTACGTGTGCATGAAAACTGTCACCTACAAGGTGTCATATAGTGGCCAAGAAATTACTACTGTTTGAGTTAATATATCCCATAGCCACTTAAAATGGAAAAAATTGTTAATCTATGTGAAGAGCTAAAAAAAGTCCCCTGTCAAGCCATATAAAGAATTCAAACCACTCTACCAAAGCTGCTCAAAGTGAGAGGTTGATTTGGCTGTGTTCTTGTAAATGTGTTCATGCATGTGTCTGTTTGCAAGTCGAGTGCTTTGTGACTTGTAAACTACACTCTTGACACTCAGCAGTTGCATGTCATTGGATCAAGGAGTAGAATTTACAACCAAGTAAAGCTGAGTCGTCTGCGAGGAACCTGAGAACTTTAATTTAAATAATGATGGATGCCTACATGATAATAAGGAATGTGCACCCCAACTAATTTATCAAATTATCCTCGTGAAGTGGCATTCCAGATCTATAAATTATGTTAGATTCCTACAACATTAAAGAATAATGGATAGGTAGAAAACTAACCAATCCAAACCCATTTCCATGAAACTCAAGTGAAGTGACTGGTTTTTGAGAAGCTTCAGGAGATGAAAACTGCAATAATGAACTGCCATTTAAAGGTTTTAACCAATCCGAAGAGAATCCAGTGGCCTCAAAACTGTCTAACCCTTGGCATGAGAGACTGAGCTTGGAAGAGTTTCCAAACAAGTTGCTTCCACCAACAGAAGATCCCAACAGAGTCGGGCAATTTGGTCTTGGCATAAATCTCTTATCATCCACTTGTAGTTGAATGTTTACTGGAAATTTTGGACAAGAGACTGGGACTGGTGAAGCAGCATATGAAAAATTTGGAGGAACTGGTTGCTGGTGATGAGGTGGATCTAGGGTAGGGAAGTATCTTGCATTGTACAACTGGTTATGGTTTGCCCCATAAGGCAGCTGAGATGAGAGTGAAGTAAACTGTTTTTCAGGAATTTGAGAGAAGCGATCACAATCATGAAGTCCAAGGGATGAAGTTTCATTGTAGATGTCCTACATGACATGAAAAAAGAGATAAATCTGCTGAGAAGTACTGATAGACAGAAAAGAAAAATGACTCGCCAAGAGTGATGGAGTTTACGCACATGAGAACCATTCTCCAATCCTTCAGCTTTAACATTTGGAAAATATGAACCCCATTTAAGAGCTGTGTGTTGTAATCAGGTGACAGAAATAAGAAAAATAAGAAATATTGTTGCAATCCAGCCCAACAAAATATTAGCTAAACTCAGTCATCTAAGAGATTAACAAGCTGATTTAGCCACCTTTATTCAGCAGTTCTAAAAGTAAACCACGTCATGCATTCAACATGGAATCAATCACCCTCAATAGAATCTAACATAGTGAGTGCCCTTCTAATACCTAAGTACTATCGAAAGTAGAGAAGAGAGGGAAAAGGAACCTGCCCATCTCTCATCTTGCTTAAAAAAATACACATAAATTAAGTCCACACCTCAATGCATGGCAAAGAGTAATAAACCCATACCTCTAAATTAAATAACCTATTGTGACCACGTATAGAATACTAACCTTCATTTTCATGATGGAGCTGTGGCTGGGAAGAAAAAACATTTGACAAATAGGCAGTCTCGTGGTCTCCAACAGACAACAAAGTTGCTGACTGATCATCACCATCCCTCAAAAGACCAACAGTAACAGCATCCTGTGAAACTTAACCATGTTGACATACAAGGCGAAAGGATCCTAGTACCAGTTACAGACTAAAACAGAACATCCATTCATTCATGGCATATGATCTGGAAAATACCTGATTGGCAAGCCTTTGCTTCGTATCCAAAACCAAAATGTTCAATCCCTCATCCGAGTCTACGATTCAGAAAACAAGATTTAAATTAACCAGTGAAACATTTTCTACGCATATGATCATGTAGACAGCCATGTTTGCCAAACCAAAAAAATTAAAAACGCATGAACAATGAAATGAAACTCCTATTACAAGCTCTAGAACGCAAAAAAACTTCGTAGAGACTAAATAAATGAAGAAAATAGAACAAGATAGAGTTCCTGCTAAGCATAAACTGCAGAATTGATCAAATTCAAGACGATCGCCTTAAATTCACCACCAAAACAAAGATAAGTTGCAGAATCCAAGTTTCTGATTCCAGAACAAATTCGATAACCCTTAAATTCAACCACAAAAGTCACTAACCGAAAAAAACGATATCATCATCATCATCATCAACAACAACAACATTGAAATCAAACATACAAGTAAGAAGAAATCTCTTTTTCTTTCTCCTTTGGCGATTCATGATTTCCATACCAGTAGAGATTAATCGATCAGCGGTTTGCTGAGCCACTGCCATGAATCACTAAACAAATGCACGTCACTCAGTGACGAGTTAAGTAAGAGCAATATCGGCGTCCGGTGAAATTCTGGTATCGGAAAATTTTGGCGGTCGGAGAGAGGAAGAGTGAGGAAGGGAGGAGAAGACAAATTAGGGTATAGATTACAGGGGAAAAAGGAAAAGTGCATAGGAGAGTAATGATGGGAAGAAACGGAACGGAAGGGGCAGGCGAAGGCAAGTATCTTTCGAGGAGCAGAGCAGTTGGCAGGACAGCACTCGTCCACCCGCGCAGACGCTGCCACGTAATCTCTCTGCAGTTTTTCGCTTAGGTAGGGACATTGCACGTTACTCTTGTTTCTTGTTTTTTCCCTTTCGCTAATTGTTTTTTTTTTTTTTTCTCTTGTTAACCATATTTGGGAAAGAGAAATGTGTTTTTTTAATATGATTGGTAATTTTTTTTTTTCCATTTTAGATATTAAAATTATGAAAATATCATTAATTAAAATATTATTATTATTATTATTTTCATAATTTTAATATCTAAACTAAAGTGTAAAAAATATAAAATTCAAATTAAAAATTTTTTTAATTTTAAAAAAAGTATGATGGGTAATTCAGACTTGTGCTACTAAATTTTTATTTTTTAAATTATACAAAAATATTTGAGTTATATTATTTTTCTTAAAATATTTTGTACAATACAATATAAAAATCACTAAGTAGTAGTATGGTGTGATTATAATTGTTTTTATTTAATAAAATCGATGAAATGTGTGCATTCACTCTTGTTTTTTAATTATTTCTTCATAATACAACTCTTAAAACTTCAACTTAAATAGAATTTCAATAAGAGCGAAAGGTCTGTAAGAGAAATAATATATTTGAGTTTACTAGATGAAAGTGTTATAGTGTAATTCATCTTATATGACCTGCATTACTTTTAATCATTTATAAAAAGGTGGACTTTTAATATTAAGATAGTTTGTCCCTCCATTAGTGATTATATGAGAAGTGCAGCCCGAGCAACACAAACTACATGTAGATTGCATTTTGATTTTCTGCATTTATTTGACACTTGTTAGTAGATGTAAGTATAAAACTTTATTTCATTTGACTGATAAGTAAAGCTGATTACAGTTGTTGTTATCTAATAGAATATTAAATATTTATTACTTAATAATTTTGAAATCTAATTATGTTTTTAGATTATAATACGAATATTTAAAAAAATTATAAATATATAAAATTAATCAAACCAAATGCATCTTAATTATATCTTTTTTTTGTACAAAATAAATATTTGTGATTTTTACATAAGGGCATATTTAATTTGGGAGGGAATTGAAACAATGGGCTTAGGGGTTGATTTGGAGCGCATGTCTGGTTGAGGAAAAATTTCTTGTAAAATTTTATTTGGAAATGTTGTTCGGATCTCCCTATCACCGTTTTATATGTTAGGTTCTCTTTGTATTTTGATGATGGTTTAAAATCATGATTCAAAAGAATTTAATCTATATTTGTGCTAAGTGTGTAAGAAAGTTAATTCAAAAATTCTAATCTTTCCCCACGATTAGAACTGAATGATGTCCTTCTTATTCAGAGTTCTGGATTCGAATCAATTATATTTGATTTGAACCACTACCGAAGTTCTTTTTTTGAAAATATTTCGAACCAATATTTCTAGATTCGAAACAAAAATTCTAGAAGATTAAATTTTAACAGCTCAACTATCCATTTATTCGTAATGGGTCATAGGGGATCCAAATGTCTTAGCACTTTCCAAGACAAGTAAAAAGAATAAGGTGGAACTTAATTGGGGCAATTGTGAGGTGGCTTTGAAGGGCTAAATGGGCTTTAATTGCAAGGCTCCCAACTAACTATTAAAAGGACATAAAAAATCAGATCTGACAAGAGAGAAAACGAATTGCTCCAGTGATACAGAAAAACAGAGCTTGTTTTTGAAATTGTTCTGGATCTTCTTCTTTTTCTTCTTGTAAGCTTTTGGGTTAATTGTTTTACAAGAGTTTTGTATTCTTCTTGGATTGAGATAATTCTTGAAGTGGTTGAGTGAGTTGCGATTCACTTGTGAGGGTTTAATCTTGCACCCACAAGCAAAAGTTTGTTCCGGTTTAATCTTGCACCCGTAAGCAAAAGATTTCTACTGGATTGAACTCTTGAGCAAGGAGGCTTGGGGAGTGGACATACTTCGGGTTGGAAGAACCACTATAAATCATGGCTTGATATTCTCTTCTATTTCTTTTTATTTTTCTGCACTTTATTTGCAAGATTGCAGTTGATCTCTATTTTATTTTGCACAACATGTTATACATATATATTGAAAACTTAATTCACATTTTTATAAAGAAAAAGAAATGAGTTTTATATTTTAAGAATTAAGGAGTATCTAGCTGGGATTATATTATAGGAATTACTTTTGTAATTTTATTGCAAATATATATATTTTACAGAGAAATATTATATCTAATTTTGCAGGGGAATATACTGCATGGCATTGTTAAGCAATTGAGAAAAGTAGACCGAACA